TGACTCTACTTCAGGCTGATGTGGCTATTCTCGTCATCGCCTCCGGTGAGGGTGAGTTCGAGGCCGGTATCTCGAAGAACGGTCAGACCCGTGAGCACGCCCTGCTCGCCTTCACCCTCGGTGTCAAGCAGATGATCGTGGTCTGCAACAAGATGGACAACGTCAACTGGGCCGAGAACCGTTACAACGAGATCCAGCGTGAGGTGTCGGGCTACCTGAAGAAGGTCGGCTACAACCCCAAGAACATCCCGTTCGTCCCGATCTCCGGCTTCCACGGTGACAACATGGTGGACCGCACCGACAAGATGCCGTGGTACAAGGGTCCCACGCTCCTCGAGGCCCTCGACGACATCAAGCCCCCCAAGCGCCCCATGGACAAGCCCCTCCGCGTGCCCCTCCAGGACGTCTACAAGATCGGCGGTATCGGTACCGTGCCCGTCGGCCGTGTCGAGACTGGCGTGCTCAAGCCCGGCATGGTGGTGACCTTCGCCCCCGTGAACGTGACCACTGAGGTCAAGTCCGTCGAGATGCACCACGAGGCCCTCCCCGAGGCCGTGCCCGGTGACAACGTCGGCTTCAACGTCAAGAACGTCTCCATCAAGGACATCCGTCGCGGTAACGTCGCCGGTGACTCCAAGAAGGACCCGCCCCAGGAGACTGAGGACTTCACCGCCCAGGTCATCATCCTCAACCACCCTGGTCAGATCCACGCTGGCTATGCCCCCGTGCTCGATTGCCACACCGCCCACATTGCCTGCAAGTTCAAGGAGCTCCTCGAGAAGGTCGACCGTCGTTCGGGTAAGAAGATGGAGGACAACCCCAAGGCCGTCAAGTCTGGCGACGCCGCCATGGTGCTCCTCATCCCCTCGAAGCCCCTCTGCGTCGAGACCTTCACCGACTACCCGCCCCTCGGCCGCTTCGCCGTCCGTGACATGAGGCAGACCGTCGCCGTCGGCGTCATCAAGGCCGTCACCCGCAAGGACCCCAAGGCCGGTAAGGTTACCGCCTCGGCCAAGAAGGCCGGCAAGAAGTAAATCGCCTCCCCCCCGATTTGCTCCTCGCTCGGGATCGACGATCCCTCCAGCTCTCTGTGTTCCGCTTGTCTCTGTACCGCTGTGCGTTCCTTTCGCAGTAAAACTTAGTCAACCCCATCTCTTGCCTCTCCTTTGGACGCGTCTCGTCTTTCCCACATCCACTGCATCGATCAATCCCGCAATACATCTTGGCGTGTAAAAAGGCGCCAAAGCGATTTTCAACTTTTGCACTAAATCGCAATGGAGGATGAAGATGAGCAATTACGTAGGGCAATAGAGCTCTCCATGCAGTCATCTGCGCCCAGCACGGCTCACCTTCGCGAGGACACGCTTGAGGAAGATGAGGAGCTTGCCAGGGCCATTCAGCTATCCCTTGAGGGGAAATGCACCACTGGCCCTGTGCATCGCTCCTCATCCTTGCCCGCAGCACGAACGGCAGACGATGTGTGCGCGCAGGGCCGACTCTTCGTCCTCAACGAAATCAAGGGCCTTAGGGGCGCAGATGCCAATTCGGGCTGCATCAGCATCCGCAAACTCGTGCGGCCGGTGCCCGCCCAATCTGCAGATGTGAAATTTCATCCGCTGTATGCAAACATTCATCTGCTCTGGTTGGCTGACTCTGCTCCGCGCAGGAGTCTCTGGTGGCGGCGTTGGTGACGTCCTTCACGGAGGACGTCGAGTGGGTGCTCTCCGTCATTCCGCCCACCATCCCGATCACTCTCGTGCGCCACTGGGAGGAACCGGACAGGGTACACACGGCACACGCGACACACGGCACACACCACACTACCTCACTATGTGTCGCGCCGGCTTCTAGGAAGGCGAGGTGCGGATCAGCAGGAACATCAGGGTCATCCATCCGCCCCTGGCGTTGCCCGGGTTCGGCGGCGGCCAGGCCATGCGCGCCAAGATGCACGCCAAGCTCATGCTCCTCCGGTATCGCGACAACACCCTGCGCGTCGTCGTCACCTCAGCCAACCTCGCCCAGCCGGTACCGCGCGTGCTAGACACACACACCGCTGAGTTGAGCCGCTTGGGCGATTAGACACGCACAGAGCTAGCCTGACAGCTGCTACAATCACACAAGGACTACGAACTGGTGGGCCAGACGGTGTGGTACCAGGACTTCCCCAAGAAGCAGCAGAAGAGCAGCGGCCAGCAGCCGGCCAGTCCGTTCGAAGAGACGCTCACGCAGTTCTTGGTCGCGCTGAAGGTGCAACCCACCTCCAATCGATCTTGCCGCATTCGCGACAATGATCCATTGATCACGACGTGGCCTCACACACTTGACTCTCATCAATTGCGGCGCCGCGCCACGTCAGGCCGACGAAGGGTTCCTGCGGGAGTACGACTTCAGCAAGGCCGCGGCCGACCTGGTCGTCAGCGTGCCCGGCTTCCACCGAGGCAAGCACGTACGTACAGCTGCGCTCCACCTTCTTCCGTCTCTTTACCGTCTGCTTTCCGTTTCGTGTGAACTCACGGTGTTCGCTTGGGGGAAACTCAGAAAATGGACGCGGTGGGCCATACGCGCCTGCGGGCGCTGCTCAGGGACTTCCAGTGGCCGCCCGCCGACGAACTACGAGACGACAACATCTATTACCAGGTGGGTTGAACACACACCATCTTCCACTTCCTCCCTGGTCACTGATCTCACCACTGCTATCGGTCATACACAGACGTCGTCGTTGGGCGCGCTCTACGAGTCGTTCGTGTCAGAGTTCAAGGAGAGCGCCTCATCGGGGGTGTTCGCATCGTCATCCTCTGCGCGTACGACGACGACGACGACGACCACCGCCACGTCGTCCACTACCACATCCACGAGCCGATCGTCGGCGCCGGCCAAGCGAAAGCGGGACGAAAGCGAACCGGCCTGGCCCGTGTCGGCCTCCGGCAGATCAACCAACAAACGACCAAGAACGGCGGAGGCCGACACGGCCAGCCACCGAAAGGGGAAGAAGAAAGAAAATGAAAGCGAACACGACGGCGATGAGGGCGACTTCGTTGAAGAGAAGGGCACCAAATCGAAGAACAAAGCTTCGTCATCGGCGACGCGAGGGAAGAAGGGCGTCGCCGCCCCCGCCACAGCGACGTCGGCCACGACTGCACGACGACCAGAACTGAGCCTCGCGATTCTGTATCCGTCGATGGACGCGGTGCGGAGCGCGCGGCCCGAGTACCGCGTGGGCGCCGGCTACCTGTTCCTGCAGGAGAAGCACTGGAGCGCCAAGTCCTTCCCGCGCGCCCTCTTCCACGACATCTGGCCCTCGTCCCACCGCCCCGCACGCCACGGCATCCTCCTCCACTCCAAGGTGCACCACCTTCGCTTTTATTTATTTATTTGTATTTATTTATTTATTTGATATATGATTTGGGTTGAGGCGTGTGTGTGACGTCATACATATATGTATGTCGACAGGTGGTGTGTCGGCTGGCGACGCACCGGTCGGGCCGACGCTACGGCTGGGTCTACGCAGGCTCGCACAATCTGTCCGCCGTGCGTATACCCTCCTCCGCTCACCTGTTGTGCGCGCTTGCGTTCGGGCGGCTACTAACTTTGGAAACACACGACACACGCACGACACGACACGCACACGCGGCACACGACACATTGCACTACACACGATAGGCGGCGTGGGGCCGATTGCAGAAGGGAGGCACGCAGCTGTTCATTTCCAACTTCGAGATCGGGGTGGTGCTCAAACACCCCTACCAAGGAGCGCAGGCGGGCGATGAAGGTGCAGACGACGACGACGACGACGTGGTGGTGGTGCTCCCCGCCGGTCCGGAGTGGGAGCGCAATCTGCCCTTCATGGTCCCGCCTCCGGCCTACACCGACGACAGCGAGCCCTTCATCGGCGACAAGTACTTTTCCGGCGCCGGCCACTGACACTCACTCGAACCCGACCCACCACTCAAAATGCATGGCGAGTTTGGTTTCTTCTTCTTCTTCTTTCGCTACAGACCGGTCGATGTGGTTGTGAGTTCGGTGATGGTGGTGGTCTCCGCCACCGACGGCTTATCGTTGGCCTCCTGCTCGTTCTCGTTGTCGTCTTCGAAGACCTGCGCCACGCACAGTTCCAGCAGGCACGCCAGGTTGAGCTGCGTCACCGACGAGATCTCGACGTAGGTCACCGCCTCGACGCGCTTGGCCAGCTGCTCGGCCTCCTCCCTCTCCACCTTCCGCCTCGTCCGCCTCCTGTTCGCCTCCGCCGCCACCGCCGCCACCATCGTCTCGCCATCATCGCCGAACAGCGATCGTTGGTCGCACTCTGAATGGAGATGATGGTCATCATCATCGTCGTCGTCGGCTTCGTCGGCGATGTCGGCCTTGGTGCCGACCAGGATCTTGACGCACGGCGTGCCCCAGGTCTTGATCTCTTCGGTCCAGTACCGCGCGATGTTGGCGAACGAGGCGCGGTTGGTCACGTCGAACGCGAGGATGAACACGTCGACGTCCTTGTAGTGCCACGGCCGCAGGTGGCGGAAGCCCTCGTACTCGCCCGCCGTGTCGAGGAACTCGATCACGATCTCCCGTCGCTCCTTGACCGCCTCCACCGTCGCCACCGCCTCCTCGGCCTCCTTCTTGATCTCTTTCATGTTCTCCTTCTCCTTCTCTTCATCATCATCATCATCATCAATCTCCATCTTCTTCTTCTGCTTCATCAGCTCATCGTCGTCGTCGTCGTCGTTGGCTTTTCGTTTGCGGTGCTGCTGGAGGTGTTCGAGGAGGAGGGACTTGGAGCTGAGGCAGTAGTTGAAGTAGAGCCAGTCGTAGATGGTCGAGGGCAGGTCGAGGCCGGCCGGGTAGCGGCCCTCGCGCCACGTGGCCAGCAGCGTCGACTTGCCCACTCCTGCCCCGAAACACCACAACAAATGAGCTTCCAGCCCACAACACGCACCACCGCACACGCACACGCACACGCACACGCACACGCACACGCACACGCAACATGATGGTGTGGACACGCAGCGATGGTGTGGCAGCGGTACCGGAATCGCCGATGCAGGCGCAGCGCATGATGTTGGGCTTGAGCGGGTGGAAGCGCCGCTTGGATGGTCGCATGGTATTGGAGATGAGCGACAGCGTGGCCTCGCCCATGTTGCTCACCGTCTCCAGCGCCGCCGTCGCCTCGTCCAACGCACTGTTGGCCAGTTGCGATATTCCTAATAAATAACAACAATAAAATTAAAATTAAAATAATAATAATTGTAATAAATAAACAAGAAGGCGAGGGCACCTTCCACCGTCTCTTTGCCTGCTTGGGCCACGCCTTCAACACCTTGCCGTGTCGCCTGAGCGCAACCAATTGATGGATTCAATAAAAAAGATGTGCATCGAATTTGATGGGCGCGAGTGGTGAGGACGTACGTGGACCGCGCTGTCGGTGAGTGCCTCGATCTCCTTCACCATGCTTCGCATGAAATTCATCTTGCGTTCGCTTCGTGTGATGGCGAAGTGAAGGCCTTTGTTATTATATTCCTCTTTCTGGCCAACTTGTGTTTGAACCTAAGGGTCTGTCGTTCGTTCGTCAAGACCCAGAGCGCAGGAGAGCTGGCCGGCAGCAGAAGGGGAGGATCAAGGCCCACCAACACAAACCTGGAGGGAAGCAAACGAAAAACGTTTCGATCTCCAACTCCGACACAACACACTGGCCCCGATAACCCAGAACCAGAAGAAGAATGTGGAATTCCCCAAGGCCAGCTGCATTGCCTTCTGCTTATGCCTCACCACCACCAACTACGCTCAGCCTCGGCATTGCCCTCAAGAAGATCTGCCGAGCAGCCTGGTTTAAGATGGCAAAACGAAACGGTTTAAGAGCAAAAAGATGGCCAGTGTGGGGATCGAACCCACGACCTTGGCGTTATTAGCACCACGCTCTACCAACTAAGCTAACCGGCCCTTGCTTCAGTGGCCATTGTTACATGTATCTGCCTTCGAGTGGATAGCATCGCGGGCCTCCAGACGAAGCTGGCGTGTGCTCTCTCGCTACACAATGAATTCATCATCATGGGATTCATAAGATCAAGAAGGTGGCCTACTGGACCTTACCACTGGCAACATGCAGCCTTTTGAAATGTACAAAGCGCATTGGACTAGGGGATGTCATGGGTCAGGGCAGTTCCCAGCTGCTGGGCCAGGAAGCTTGCCAGCTCGCTCATCGCGGGTCGCTTTTGTGGCGTGGCGTGCCAGCACCGCCGCACCATCTTGCCAAAGGCCGGTGGACAGTCGCTGGGCATCGGCGGGCGCTTGCCGTTGAGCACGTCCAGCGACACACCCATAAAGTTCCTACACGTTACCACAGCCCATTCATTCGTAAGTCAGCATTGGACAAAAGCTTCGTCTGAAGGAAGCCGCGTACTGTCCAGCGAAGGGCTGGCGGCGGGTGAGGACCTCCCACATGATGACCCCCATACTGTACACGTCCGATGCCGCCGAACACCTGGACACACCAAGCCACACCAATCACTTCACATCAGTCTCCTCCCACACTCTCATGAGAGAAGGAAAAAAAAGAGGGCTGTACGGCTCGCCGCGGATGATCTCGGGCGCGGTCCACGAGGGCTTGCCGCAGCGGGTCATGGTGGCGTTCTCCTGGCGCAGTCGGGCGAACCCAAAGTCGCACACCTTGACGCTGGTCATGGCCGCATCGTTCAGGAGCAGGTTCGACGGTTTGACGTCCCCGTGCACCACCGGCGGGTCGAGCGCGTGCAGGAAGCTCAGGCCCTGCGCGGCGCTGTGGAGCAGGCCGAGCCGTTGGCCCCAGGAGAGCTTCACGGCGGACCCGCGGCTGTTGTTCTTGGTGGCGCCCAGCACGTCTTGCAGGCTGCCGTGCTTCATGTACTCCGTCACCACGCACAGATTGGGCTGCTTCACACAAGCCCCTGAAATCCTCCCATTTAGCAACACACACACACACACGCACACACACACACACACACACAACAGCTCCCCCAGGGGTAGGTACCGATGAAGTGGAGCAGGTTGGGGTGGCTCAGCTCTGCGAGAAAGGCAGCTTCGGTGCGGAACTCGAGCAGCCGCCGTTCGCTCAGCTTCTGGTTGATGAAGTGCTTGACCGCCACCTCGATGCCCTTCCACCGGCCGAGGTGCACCACGCCGTAGGTTCCCGTGCCGCCGATCCGCCGGCCCAGCTCGATTTCCTCCGTAGCCATGATCCACCTGGTCGCCACCACCCAGTTCGAGTGATGAGAGCGAGTTAAGGTGGCGGCTGACAGCATCAACAAGTACCGACAGAGATTCGCCGAAACGAGAAAGGCGTCGTCGGTGTACACCGTCGTCAGGTCCAGGTGGTGCTGCTGCGGCTGCGAGCCTCTGGCCGGGCTGTAGCCTCCGGCGGCGGCGCTGCCCTCGAACTGCGGCTGCTGTTCGTCGTCGGCCCTGGCTCGGTGCGCGGCGGCGAAGCGGGACTCGAGCCCAGGCACGCGCAGCCCATAGAGCGTGCTAGCGCCGTCGCCTTGGTGGTGATCGACCACCACCTCGAACTGGCCCACGGGCGCCCAGCGACTTCGGCGCATCATCAACGCACGCTGGTGGCGATCGTCGTCGTCTTCGTCGTCACTTTCATCTTCTTGCTCGCCCGTGGCATCGTGCGCCGCGTCACGGCCGGCGGCCAGGTGGAGCCACACGGTCTCGGACACGAGCACCTGCCCGCCTCGGGCCATCGTGGTGATGTGCGCGGCCGTGTTGACCACTGGACCCGTGAACTCGACCCGCCGGGTGATCGAGTCCACCACCCGCCGGCGTGGCTCGCCCATGTGGACCCCCATCCTCACCCTCGGCCCCTGCGTGGTCGACATGCGATCCGGTTCAGCACGAACATCAACCAAAGCACGACGTATACGAAACGCACACGACGCACACGACGCACGACACACAAACGATGTGGCTGTACCCTGTAGATGAGTTGACCGAGGGTGGAACTTTCTTCGCGTGCCTCGGGGTGCTTGAGGAGTGCCTCGGGCCACTCCACTTGCATCAGCTCCTGCTGCACCCGGGCACACCAGGCCACGGCCTTGGCCACGTCGCCGAACGCAGCACACATGGACCCTTCGCCGCTGTTTCCCTTCCTGTCGTCGCCTTGTGTGAGTGACACGCACCACCGCACCACCGCACACGCACACTCCACGACACAACGGAGAGTACGCACGTGAAGCAAATGACTTCGTAGCCTCCAAACTCGCGCAGTCGCCGGCGTAAGAGCTCGTTGTGGGCAAAGGTGGCATCGCGCATGGCCTCGGGGTTGAAATCCCACAGGGCCGCCGCGCGCATGATGTCGCTGAACACGATCGCCACCTCGCCCATCGGCGCCGGTACGGCCCTCTCATCCAGCAGGAGCGCTCCCAGAGATGAGCCGCGCGAAGAAACTATTGCACCCATCATAATGATTTCACATGTCGTTGATGTGGTGTGTGCGTGTGTGTATGTGCGTGCGTGTCGTGTCGTGTCGTTGGTCGTGTCGTGTCGTGTCGTGTCGTGTCGTGTCGTGTCGTGTCGTGGTCTTGTGTGAGTGTTACCTGAGGAGTTTGAAGAGTGCTCCTCCTGGGCGTATTCGACTTCTTCTTCTTCTTCTCCGCGGCCAATCAGGGGTAGCCACGACACCTGCTTCCGCGAGTGGTGGAAGCGGGTGGCCAAGCGGCTCAGCCGATTGGAGATGTCGAAGATCGAAGGTCGGGCGCGGGGCTCGCCGTCCCAGGCCTCTTGCATGATCTCCACGTAGTCGGTCGGGGCGCTCTGCGGCACCTTGGGCCGCAGGCCGTCCCTCAACACCGCCACCGCCACCGCAGCAGGTCTGATCGTTACCAGCATTCAGAGTTATTTGGAGTGTGTGTGTCGTGTGTCGTGTGTCGTGTGTCGTGTGTCGGGTGCGCACTGCATGCTGGCGTAGGGATCCTGGCGAGTGAGCACTTCCCACATGATGATTCCGAAGCTGTAGACGTCGGCCGCGGCCAGGTCGATGCCGCGCGACTCGTTGAGCACCTCGGGCGCCGTCCAGTGGACGCTTCGGCCTTGGTCCATCTGCAGTTCCTCCTTGATCTCGAGTCGCTCGCGCAAGCCGGTCAAACCAAAGTCCGACACCTTGAGCTTCCACTTGGAGTCGAGCAGCAGATTGAGGGACTTGAGGTCCCTATGCACAATCCCTGTAGTGACAGTGTCACACGCAAGATCATTCGACACAACACACACGGCACACACGGCACACACGGTAACACGCACACACACACACGGCACACACGGCACACACGGCAACACGACACACATAACACACACGACACATAATGGGAGTTACCTGAGGAGTGGAGGAAGTAGAGGCCCTTGGCGGCTTGCTTCAGCAGCTTGAGGCGCATCTTGATCGGGATGTCGTCGACGCTCTCGTTGTGCAGAAGGTCGTGCAGAGAACCCATCAGCATCAGCTCCATCACTGATGACAGAAGGCTGCATCAGTAGTGCGCCCGAGCGCTGCAGCTTCAGGCATGAAAAGCTGCACCACGCACGCACCGATGCATAGATTGGGCGGCCTGGTCGCTGCCGCCATGAACAGGACCACGTGTGGGTGCCTCAGTGACGTCATTACCCTCACCTGGCGCCCAGCGAGGAAGTGGAGCGTCAAAGCCCGGGCGTGGTTGGCGACGGCGAAATAAACTCGCAGTGTGCGGCGGGTACCTCCTCGATGAAGGCGCTGTGGAGTTCTGGAGAGTAGGCGGCGCTCATGGTCTTGACTGCGACTTCGGTGCCCCGCCACACGGCCTTGTTCACGCGCCCGAACCCTCCGGTGCCCAGCAGCTCGCCCATATCCAACTCCGAGGCGTCGATCAGCCAGCTAGTGTCCTCGCCCTATCAGAAACACGTCACACGACACACGACACAAGACATGACACACAGCATGACACACACACACACACACACACGCATATGTGATACAGAGCCTGACGTCAGCAAAATGATGTCCACGCGAAGGAAGGGGGGCTGACTACGTACGTGACGCTTGCGGGTGATGGCGAGAACGATCAAGAACGCGCACGCCACAATGGCCAGCGCGGCCACACACGCTGCGATCAGCACGCACGCTGCGATCGCTGCAATGCTCGCCGCATTCAGAGCGTCGGCGTTGTCGCCGACCAACTCGTCGCAGAACTCGCCTGCCCTGCCCGGCTTGCATATGCACCGATGGCTCTGGCATTCGCCAGCATCGGAGCAAAGCGTGCCGTTGCGCACGCACCCGCTCAGCGAACTCACCGCCTTGCCGTCGCATTTGATCTGCACCAACTCGTCGAGCACCTTGCCCCGCACCACCTTGCCCACCGGCACCACTAGTTTCAAGCATTATTAGTCATCCAGCGTCCCCCTCAAAAAAGTGTACATTTGGGTGGTAGCTACGTACGATCGCTGATATTGAGGATGTGGTGCGCTTGCGTCGAGTTGACCATCCACCACACCATGTCGACGAGGTTGGTGGCGCGCGAGCAATCGGTGTAGCTGTCCTTCGACAAGAGGACGTAGTAGTACGAGGCCAGCGGCCAACTTGTCGACCGCTGCGACAGGGAGAGGTCGGCATAGAAGTACTGGTCCAGAGGCACATCTTTAGTGGCTTCACACACACTCTGCGCCCGCGAGCGGTGAGAGAGAACGTCAAGGTGAGTGAAGAGGCACGACGAAACTAGTGGTGAAGCTGGGTACCTCTGTGGTGGGTGCTAGGAAGAGTCCGCTCTCGGGCACTGTTACCAGCTGGGCCTCGCTGACGTGGCGCAACTCTCCGTTCCAGGCGTTGGCCTGGTTGCCCCACGAGGCCGAGTGAACGCCGGAGAACTTGAATTGCGGTGCAAAGGCGAGGCTGTAGGACGTGTTGTCCACCGCGACCCCAATCTCTGCCGCCATCATCGCAGCGCAACCGGTCAGGGCCTGGGCTAAGGGGAGCTTCCCAGGGCTGTAGTGAGTAGTACCCGACTGGGCAACGTAGCGGGCGCCCACCAGGGGAAAGGTGACATTCGCACCCACGCCCACGATCCGCTTGAAATCGGGGCACTCGTGGGCAAGCGCCTGCGTGAAGGGGTAGTTGTAGCTGCCCGATTGGTCCACCACAACCACGATCTTCTCATCCAGCAGCCATGCCACCGGGTCATCCAGAGATTGCCTGTTAAGGCTGTGTGTGGTGCAGCGTGCGGTTAGGCTACAATCCAAGGCCGATTTTTTCTTGGCTTTTCAAAGGTCGTACTTGATGATGCTTTCGTCTCGCCACGACGTGATGTTGCCCATGTAGATCCCCGCCAGAACGTGGAGCGAGAGCGACAAGTTCGCTGCTACACCAGGCAGGTTGTACCCTATGCTGAGCCCGAACGCAGCAACTGGCCTGCGCGCATTGGTTTTTCATTATCATCACCATCACGACATGCATAAGGGGCAGTTGAGCGGGGGGTGTAAACGCACAGGTATCTAAAGTCGGGGTGATCGGCGGGCGGCGGACCGGCATAAACGGTGACGCTGTAGTCCACGTCGCCGCTCTCCAGCTGCTGCTGCCCTCCGTCGGGGATGTACTGCGACTCGACGCGGTCCACGGTGCGGCTGTAGAACAGGCCGAGCGAGGACACGAACGGCGCGTCCGGCCCGGTGCCGGCGATGAGCGACGAACGCAGCCGACGCTCTTTGTTGCAGGTGAGCAGCGCCAGCCAGTTGAGCACGCGGATGCGGTAGGCCGCCGACAGCTGCACGTAGCCCACGGACTCCAGGTCCCGGTTGGTCTGCGGGTTGGACACGCTCCACACGGTGTTGTCTATGTGGAGGCTGGAGCCGCCGCAGTCGACGGCATTGGTGATGTGGCGGTCCTGGATGATGAAGGAGAACAGGCAGAGCGGGTAGGACTCCGGCCCGGGACCGTCGACGATGTACTCCGGCAGCTCGTTGGTGCTCTGGCCGCTCGGGCTGAAGTCATCCATGGCGGCCTTGATATTGGCTGGCGCTGGCCCTACTGTTTTATCTGCACACGCCGCACGCACGCACGCACGCACGCACGCACACACACACGGTTTGGATTCCTGATTTCCATGACCTGAAGAGGGGAAGGTACTGGCTTTGTTGATGAGCTGCGCGATGGAGGGCGAGGGTGCACTATAGTAGGAATCGTGGACGAAGTAGCCCAGCGAGAACGGTGTCTCATTCATGTAGGCCAGTAGGCTCTCGGTGGTGCTGAAGCCCGCCGAGCCGCGGGTCGGGTCGACCACCGGCGGCAGGTGCGCGAGCGTGCCGTTGGCCGTCAGCGCGTCGGCGGCGGCGGGGTCGTCGTCGCGGATGAACGAGGCCAGCGCGTGCGCGAAAACCTGGGTAACGCCCAGGCCGGGCAGCCAGGCCAGACGAATCGCTTCGTCGGGCAGGGGTGCGAGCTCGGGGTTGAGGCGGGCGATGTCGGGGTGACTCCACTGCGAGACCTCGCCCAGCCAGATGCGGGCTAGCAGGCGCCGATCGAGCACGAGACTGGTACCCTGCGAACTGGTGTCGTTGCTG